CCCCTTCCCTTTCCCCTTCCTCTTTCTCCTTTCTTCCCCCTGCCTCCTTTCATTATAGCTGCCCCTATCCCGGTATTCCAGCCCATCCCCTACTTTGAGAAGAAAGCCCCCAGGAAGCCCCACCATCTGCCTCTGAGCTTCTTCTCGGGTCTGATGGTGTGAGACACAGAGTTTCAGTAGCTCTGTGTATATAAGAGGACAAACCCTGTAGTCCTGAGTGTCAGGTGTCAGTGGTCATTTTGCAATTACGTGACATCCAAATCTTCAGAGACGGATCTGACAGGTGAGAGTCGTGTGGGCCACTGAGGTTTAAAAAGCATCTCTCGTAGCTGCCTCCTCGCTCGGCTAATCCTTCCCTGTACCCTCTGCACTCTTCCCTCCCTCAGGGAGCGGCCGGCCCCACCCCTGCCTTTCTTCCACCCATGATGTACAAGAGCAGGCATTTTGTGAAAGCAACCTGTGAAGAGGCAGAGGAGGTGGCCGGTTAATTAAACTGACACAGACAGTGGCAAAGATCACCCTGATAGTCTCACTTGGTTCGTCTCCAGACGCATGTTTACAGGCGAAAAACATGTCTAAACACTAATAATTGCTACGATTACTCCGATCCCCAAGCGACATCCAGCCGCTTCTCCCTGCCTATCAGCATGGCCCCCGTGGCCTCGCCCTCCCGTTCGTGCCTCACCTCTGTGTCTGTGCAGCTCTGTCTCCCCCCCACCAGATAGCAGAGCCACGTCTCCCTCGGACACCTTGAAAGTTCCGGGCTGGCCGTGGCTCTGGAAAGTCCGATATAAGCAGCCTATAGATTTCGGGGAATGGGGGAAAGAATCCTAATGATGATGAGGGGATGAGGCGAGGGAAAGCATTTAGGAAAAGGCACGCCCACTGTTCGTGACTCTCCGCGAGCGCCTGCTCAAACACAGGGAGCGGTGATGTCTCAGACCAGCCCGGTGCCGCGAATCACGTTGGACGTGGCATGTTTCTTTGACGCTGCGTCTTGAGACGCCCTTCACGGGGACGATGGGAACACACGCGTGCACGAGGACGCACGTGCGGAAATGACAGGCGCGGCCCAGGGCCTGCTGAGCGTCACCACTCGCCAGTCTCTCAACGTTGCTCTTCTCTGCTTCTCTCTAGTGCGGATGACGCCTCCGATGAAGTCATGCAGGTTGACGTACGGATAGAGGAGCCCAGTGACCTGCCGGCCACACAGCTTGTCACGTGGCAGGTCGAGTATCCAGGAGACATCACGTCTGACTTGGGCGTATCCAAGATCTACGTGAGTCCGAAGGACTTGATGGGCGTCATACCGCTGGCCATGGTAAGAAGGTCCCTGCCTTGGGCTGTTAATACAGAACCCAAGGGAAAGAAAGGCTCCGGGCTGCCCCCACACCTGGCGGGGAATTGTCAGAGAACCAGGAACCAGGGTTGTGGGGGGGTACCTGACCCGCAAAGTCTGCTAAACAGAGCTGAGTCTCAAAAATGTGTTCTCTCTAAATCATATTCTGAGAACGTTAGTTACAAAATCATCAAACTCCAGGTATTAGATTTGGATCTTCATTATATGGAAAAATATGGATCATTTAATAAATGTGCTTCCATCATACAGTGTAGACTTTGACAATCTCAAATACATCCGCCCCCAGAGACCACATCGATCAAGTGTGAGGGAAACGTAGCAGGTCACATGGCAGACGCCTGCCCCCTCTCAAAGCTGCAGCTAGCGTCAGCCACGCAGCAAAGCCACGCCGGCTTCTCAGTTCTTACGAGCTACCGAGTTTCCAAGGAAGCCATAAATCCAGTTTGAATGTGAAATGTCAACCTGCTCATGGTGGCAGCTAGTTAGAAATAAATAAAACACGACCTAGGAAAGAAGTCAATGGTATTCCATTCGTAGGTTACCTATTTGGAAAAGATTAAAGACGGTAAGTCTGCCTACGTGTTCTTTAGGGTTCGTGAAACAGAGATGGGCTTTTCTCCTTGGAAGGACCAGCCCCTGGTTTCTGTGTCACACAGTCCACCGCCTGTGGGAACACCCGTCCTCCACGTTTCCCTAAGCGAAACACACACATGCCCCGTAGAGCCCTGCCTGTACCTCGGACTCTTCAGGAGCCCCTACAGAGGAACGATACCTTTTTTAATCGTGAATTTTCACAGTGCAAAAGCTTGGGCGTGTTGGTCTGCCGACCATAAGGTGAGCTTTCCCCTGTTTACCAAAACTACTTTTCCTGTCGGATGTAAAACATGAGTCGACCTATCCACTGCCTGCCTGGTGTCTCCTCCACACCATCCATTAGAAAATATCGACAAGTGTTATTATATACGTAGAGAAAGAGCATTGGGAATCAATCTTTCAATGAAAGGTAGCATGGACAGTTGCCTGGTGACGGCAGGTTCCTTATTATGCCGTTCGTTAGGAAATGTAACAGTTTGGGGTACGTCCTTGATAAGGGCTCCTTTTAACTTTGTTTTGTGGTTTTTTTTTGGAGGCGCTAAGCCTCCCTTGGTGTATCTCTCCACGTGTGAGGGTAGCACTCCTTTGGTTAGGCTATTAGTGAGTGGTTCTATTACTGGGGATGGCAAGACCATTTATCTCGAACAAGGAATTATTTGAATTTGCTCCTGTGCCGCACCTTTGATCAAATGAGCTCTTTGCAGTACTCGGCACGGCTTCTGTGGCTTTGTTCAGCGTAGGTTAGCGTCCTGTTCGTTTCCCGCACTCAGCGTTTCTCCTGCCTCACGTGTCCCTGACGCCCCCATCACGTATCCCCAACCCCACCGTTCCCCGTAACACGCATGAATCCCCACTCCGACAAGGCGCCTCTCGGGCCTCTGCTGGTCTGTGACCATTTTCATCTTACCCCGCCGTCTAGCTACGACGGGTGTAGTACCGTACGATCGCGTGACGAGACAGCCAAGACCTAGTCGTGCCTTTCGCCATTTAGGAATTGCATTTGTTTGAAATCAAGAGGGCTCCTCGCCCACCCAGCCTGCTCTGACCCAGCCAGTAGTGGCTAAAATACAGATGCGTTTCTTTTTTCACGTGAAGGAACTCCAAAGGTTAGTGGTCTGGTTTCGGCGTGGTGGCGCATGCCTCCTTCCTTCTTTCTTTCTGCCTCGGTGGTTTGAGGGCGTGACTTCCACCCTCGTGGTAACCCTAGGGTCCAAGATGGTTGCCGGAGGGCTGGCCAACATATCCATGTTCGGTAGACCAGAAAAAGTCAGAAGTGAAGAAGCTCAAGAAAATGAGCTTTCAAGAAAGAAGGATCCGACACAATATTTCTGCTTACATCCAATCGGCACGTAGTCGTATGGCCGTACCTCTTGGAAGGAAGGCTAGTTAATCTCTATTTTAGCATGGCACGTTGCTTAAACTCTGTTGCAAGGAAACAAGAGGAAAATGATTATTTGTGCCATATTTGTAACAGTCCTCCTTCATTTCCACTTGAGGAAGTGGAGACTCATGTTGAGCACCTGTGTGTGCTTTCTGTCTTGATCTTTAGGAAACCCCCAGGAAGCAAAATAACATAACGGAATCCGAGCCTCCACTTGCCAGCTAGGCAAACGTGCTGATTTCACTCACGGTGCCTCCGTTTCCTCATCTAAAGGGGGAGAAGAGATAATACTTACTCATAGGCTAGTAGGAGGCTAAAATGATAACTCAGGAGTGCTTGGAACTGTGTCCGGTCCAGAGCAAACATACAATAAATGGTAGCTATTATTTTGTTCATTTCACCCCTCGATGCAAAGGATAGACAGCGCCCTGACAACAATGTTGTAAATTCTTCCAGGAAAGGGGTTTGGCCCTGGCCGCCATATTTCATGGCGTAAAAAGAATGCTAGACACCGTGTACGCGCTCACTGATTCTTGAGCTGAGTTGAATGAATTGTAAGGGCACTTTTGGTCCGACGACGTTTTACCAGTGATCTTGGAATATCTTCCTTTGGAGCTAAGGGTGAAGTCTTCAGGGTCCTGACTCCCCAGTCTTTTATATTTGGAGTGTTCTGAGTCCCCCTTCCTGAGAAGGCGGCTTCATTTTACCTTTGACTTGGTTGGGAAAAGAACTCTGGCCATTGCTAGAGAGATTGCCCTCACTACACGGTCGTTTTGCCACTTCATTTCACTTCCACTGTGTGCTTGTTCAACATGTGTTCGTTGCGAGATATTTGAAGGAGATCTGATGTCCATGCGTCTCTTCATCTGCATCACACGTTCTTGAAATATTAGAGAACCGGAAGGAGCGCCAGCTCACTGGGACCATGATGAGTGAGGAGAAGGCGCTCTGGGTTGAGATCGTGGTCACCGGGCGCTCATAAGCTAGAACAAGGGGGTGGATCTTCAAATGTGATTTGGAGCCGCTGCAAGGCTCTCTGCAGGGTGTCACATGGACTGATGTATGTGTTTAGAAGAACGCTCCGGCTGTAGGTGGAGAGTAGATTTGGGAGAGCCAGAGAGATGTCAGGGAGAGTTAGGACCTGCACGCTGGATGCTGTCCAATAACCCGGATCTAATGAGCTAGGCGTTTACTCGTCCCTCACCTGTCCTGTAAGAGTGTGAGCAGCCTGGGGCTTCTCTGATGCCTCCAGGGAGTTAGGACATAGCCTCCCTCTATCCCCAAAGCTATTGACCTCCTCCCCATGGCCTCAGAATAATAACAAACATGTCCCTGTGGCAGCCAGCAGGAATAGGCAGAGGGACAGCGGGAGGATGTGTTCCTTTCCGTCAAGGACGGCCTGTCCCTGAATACAGCACCTGTGCCCCAAGCCCGCCAGCCCTGAACTCAGCCGAGTGACCACCTGTAGCTGCGGGGGAGCGGCGAGAGGGAGCTCTATCCCAAGAGGCCATGTGTCCAGCTAAAAGCATGTGACGGTGGGAGAAGGAAGGACAGACACTGACGCCATCCTGGATGGCCCCAGGAGACTACAGCCAGGACAGTGGAGACATGGCAAGGTGGACACTTCCAGGTCCGTTCTTAGTGGGTAGGTGATTGGACTTTCCCCTGCATTGGGCACGGGTGTGAAGGAAAGATGGGGGGGAAACAGGAGTCTGGGTTTTAGGTTCATCCAGAAAGCTTCCCCTGTGTCTCCATGGTTCACACACAGACCTAAAATAGGTAAGAGATCTCCTATTATGAAATAGCCTATGGTTTACATTTTTGCACAGAGATCTTTGCACACAGCTCCGACTGATTCCTGCACATACTTTTGGGAATAAACTCAAACCAAAGAATGTGAATCAAATGATATGCAATATTGTAATTTTTCTGATAACAGTCACCAGACTGCCCTCCGGTAAGTTTAACCAATATAATTCTACCTGCTGTGTATGATGGTATCCATTTCCCTATGAGTCACAAACTTAGGATATTAAAATCTTAACATAGGCCATTTATTAAGCAAAAATGATACCTCGTCGTTGCTTCAATTTTTTTTATTGCTGCCTAAATTTGCCCTCTTTTGGTTCATTTGCAAATTTCCCCATCAAACATTTGCTCTTACCCATTTCCTTTCCCTATTGGGAATTTCATTTCTTATGACTTTGTTATTAAAAAATCTTTTTTTGGGGGGCGCCTGGGTGGCGCAGTCGGTTGAGCGTCCGACTTCAGCCAGGTCCCGATCTCGCGGTCCGTGAGTTCGAGCCCCGCGTCAGGCTCTGGGCTGATGGCTCAGAGCCTGGAGCCTGTTTCCGATTCTGTGTCTCCCTCTCTCTCTGCCCCTCCCCCGTTCATGCTCTGTCTCTCTCTGTCCCAAAAATAAATAAACGTTGAAAAAAAAAAAAACTTAAAAAAAAAAAAAAATCTTTTTTTTATTATGGTAAAAACACGTCACGTGAAATTTACCATCTTAACCACTTCCAACCGTGCAGTCCATTGGTGTTAAATATGTTCACATTATTGTGCAACAGATCTCAGAAACGTTCTCATCCCTCAGCCCTGAAACCCTCTCCGCCATCTACACATGAATTCCTTCCTCTTACCCCCAGCCCACGGACACCACCTTCTGCGTTCGTTTTCTGTATATGAGCGATGCTGACCTTCTGATTGGCACATCGCTGCACGTGTTCTCCACGATTTACCACTTGCCTTCTAATCCCACAGGTCGTGGGTTGTAACATGCAGAAGTTTGGGGGGTATTCAATTTCCATGCAGCCACATCCACAGACCTTTTCTGTAGTAGAAATCCCCCTCCTCCCCCTAATTACCACCAAGAGGAAAAACATGCCTGTTTCACTTGTTCTTGTAAAATCTCGGAAATTAAAATACCCCCGGACCGTGCATTTGAACGGAGAGAACTGTAGTTTTCTGAAAATAATGCTGAAGG